AGTCCGGTGCTTCATGCAGCCAGGGGAGGCGAGTCCGGTGCTTCATGCAGCCAGGGGAGGCGAGTCCAGTGCTTGATGCATCCAGGGGAGGCGAGTCCGGTGCTTCATGCAGCCAGGGGAGGCGAGTCCGGTGCTTCATGCAGCCAGGGGAGGCCAGTCCGGTGCTTCATGCAGCCAGGGGAGGCGAGTCCGGTGCTTCATGCAGCCAGGGGAGGCGAGTTCGGTGCTTCCTGCAGCCAGGGGAGGCGAGTCCGGTGCTTCATGCAGCCAGGGGAGGCGAGTTCGGTGCTTCATGCAGCCAGGGGAGGCGAGTTCGGTGCTTCATGCAGCCAGGGGAGGCGAGTTCGGTGCTTCATGCAGCCAGGGGAGGCCAGTCCGGTGCTTCATGCAGCCAGGGGAGGCGAGTTCGGTGCTTCATGCAGCAGGGGAGGCGAGTTCGGTGCTTCATGCAGCCAGGGGAGGCCAGTCCGGTGCTTCATTGCAGCCAGGGGAGGCGAGTTCGGTGCTTCATGCAGCCAGGGGAGGCGAGTTCGGTGCTTCATGCAGCCAGGGGAGGCCAGTCCGGTGCTTCATGCAGCCAGGGGAGGCGAGTTCGGTGTTTCATGCAGCCAGGGGAGGCGAGTTCGGTGCTTCATGCAGCCAGGGGAGGCCAGTCGGTGCTTCATGCAGCCAGGGGAGGCGAGTCCGGTGCTTCATGCAGCCAGGGGAGGCGAGTCCGGTGCTTCATGCAGCCAGGGGAGGCGAGTCCGGTGCTTCATGCAGCCAGGGGAGGCGAGTCCGGTGCTTCATGCAGCCAGGGGAGGCGAGTCCGGTGCTTCATGCAGCCAGGGGAGGCCAGTCCGGTGCTTCATGCAGCCAGGGGAGGCGAGTCCGGTGCTTCATGCAGCCAGGGGAGGCGAGTCCGGTGCTTCATGCAGCCAGGGGAGGCGAGTCCGGTGCTTCATGCAGCCAGGGGAGGCCAGTCCGGTGCTTCATGCAGCCAGGGGAGGCGAGTCCGGTGCTTCATGCAGCCAGGGGAGGCGAGTCCGGTGCTTCATGCAGCCAGGGGAGGCGAGTCCGGTGCTTCATGCAGCCAGGGGAGGCGAGTCCGGTGCTTCATGCAGCCAGGGGAGGCCAGTCCGGTGCTTCATGCAGCCAGGGGAGGCGAGTCCGGTGCTTCATGCAGCCAGGGGAGGCGAGTCCGGTGCTTCATGCAGCCAGGGGAGGCGAGTCCGGTGCTTCATGCAGCCAGGGGAGGCCAGTCCCGGTGCTTCATGCAGCCAGGGGAGGCGAGTCCGGTGCTTCATGCAGCCAGGGGAGGCGAGTCCGGTGCTTCATGCAGCCAGGGGAGGCGAGTCCGGTGCTTCATGCAGCCAGGGGAGGCGAGTCCGGTGCTTCATGCAGCCAGGGGAGGCGAGTCCGGTGCTTCATGCAGCCAGGGGAGGCGAGTCCGGTGCTTCATGCAGCCAGGGGCACCTGAATATGAATATTGAAAACATTCTGAATAGTCATTTAAAGCGGAATGAAAAACATACCAACCATTCCTCAAACATGGCCTTTGTTTTCACATGTATAAAAAAAAAATATTTTTTTTAGGTTAGATTAGGGGAAACAGGAGCTAAAAATTATCCAAGGGATGACTCCCTCAAAGAGGAAGATGTCACGTTCAAATAATGTTATTATCACAACTGCAAGAAAAATAATATAATGGATAACTAGAACCTTCATAACTCTATTGCTGAATCTCTGGTCCCAACCTCTGGAACTGGTCTGTTTTTTCTGGCCACGGGGACGGTGACACCCCAAATCGTATCCTGATAGATAGACCGTGGTGATGTGTTGCACATTGGTGTTGCAAATGTTGCTGGGCGATAGTATACGAAGAGTGAGAAATATGGTAGAAAGATGAGAGAGATGGGGATAGGGAGGAGATAGAATGAGGAAGAGGTAATGAATGAAGAGTGACAGAATGACGGAAAGGAGAGGAGAGAGAGAGAGAGAATAAAGATAGATGGAGTGAAATTGAGATGAACTGAGGGAGATTGTGAGATAAATGGTGTGACAAGAGAGAGAGAGAGACGATTTCATAACAATAAAAATACTTGTATGTCTCAATACAATAAAAAATGCTTTCAAGTGAGCTGATGTAGGTAACAGCTCTTAGCTTGTCAATAAAGTTAGGAATCCTTAACCTGTAAATAGCTTGTCAATAAAGCTAGGGATCCTTAACCTTATCAAACCCTGTGTGTAAAAAAAAAAGAGAATGAACGAGAAATGAAGACACAGCGAGGGAGAGAGATGTTAAGAGTAAAAAAGAATAGTGTTGATAAAGCACTTACTGAAAGCTGAGAAAATATCCCCAATAAACCCAGCTGACTTAATCAAACTTTTTAATGACTCTGGCAGCAGGTAAACATCGTCTTGAACAATATCCTCTTAAGAAATGTTACGGAGCCCATCAGTTTCAGGATTTTGAGCGGAAATTATTACATAAAAGCTGGAAATACCCAGAAATGGAATAATATACATCCACAATATATACAAAGTCCCATGTCATCCCAAGCCGGCGTTACCCACCATGTAAGAGAATGCTATTAAAGGTTGAATATATGCTAAGTATAAGCCAGCCTAATCTTACAACAGCAGAAATCTTACGAAATATATCTGGAAATAAAAAGAAATCTTACGTAATATCCGAAAATAAAATCAAGAGATCTTACGAAATATCTGTAAAAAATAAAAAAATCACGAAATATCTTGAAATAAAAGAAAATGTTTAAAATAGCAAAAGCCTCCCATGATAGTAGACTGCATGAACTGTGTCATTACAGACGAGAACATCATCACTGCATGATGTACCATTGTATTCGACACTAGGCTTCTCCAAGCACCACCGAGAACCATATCACCAATAATCTCTTACTTAAATAAATTGCAAAAGCAATTTCGTAAGAGGAAATCTCTCGTCTAAGTTCCATTCAACAAATTTAATAAATTGTGTTACTGATGGATGTAAAGTAGAGATTACTGGCTGACTGTATCTGTCTGTTGTTGTGTGTCAGATCACTGGCTGACTGTATCTGTCTGTTGTGTGTCAGATCACTGGCTGACTGTATCTGTCTGTTGTTGTGTGTCAGATCACTGGCTGACTGTATCTGTCTGTTGTGTGTCAGATCACTGGCAGACTGTATCTGTCTGTTGTTGTGTGTCAGATCACTGGCTGACTGTATCTGTCTGTTGTTGTGTGTCAGATCACTGGCTGACTGTATCTGTCTGTTGTTGTGTGTCAGATCACTGGCTGACTGTATCTGTCTGTTGTTGTGTGTCAGATCACTGGCTGACTGTATCTGTCTGTTGTTGTGTGTCAGATCACTGGCTGACTGTATCTGTCTGTTGTTGTGTGTCAGATCACTGGCTGACTGTATCTGTCTGTTGTTGTGTGTCAGATCACTGGCTGACTGTATCTGTCTGTTGTTGTGTGTCAGATCACTGGCTGACTGTATCTGTCTGTTGTTGTGTGTCAGATCACTGGCAGACTGTATCTGTCTGTTGTTGTGTGTCAGATCACTGGCTGACTGTATCTGTCTGTTGTTGTGTGTCAGATCACTGGCTGACTGTATCTGTCTGTTGTTGTGTGTCAGATCACTGGCAGACTGTATCTGTCTGTCTGTTGTGTGTTTACCTGGAGACCTGGAGAGAGTTCCGGGGGTCAACGCCCCCGCGGCCCGGTCCGTGACCAGGCCTCCACAATATATGCAATACATCCACAATATATGCAAAGTCCCATGTCATCCCAAGCCGGCGTTACCCACCATGTAAGAGAATGTTATTAAAGGTGTCAGATCACTGGCAGACTGTATCTGTTGTTGTGTGTCAGATCACTGGCAGACTGTATCTGTTGTGTGTCAGATCACTGGCTGACTGTATCTGTCTGTTGTTGTGTGTCAGATCACTGGCTGACTGTATCTGTCTGTTGTTGTGTGTCAGATCACTGGCTGACTGTATCTGTCTGTTGTTGTGTGTCAGATCACTGGCTGACTTTATCTGTCTGTTGTTGTGTGTCAGATCACTGGCTGACTGTATCTGTCTGTTGTTGTGTGTCAGATCACTGGCTGACTGTATCTGTCTGTTGTTGTGTGTCAGATCACTGGCTGACTGTATCTGTCTGTTGTGTGGCAGATCACGGGCTGACTGTATCTGTCTGTTGTTGTGTGGCAGATCACTGGCACACTGTATATGTTGTTGTGTGTCAGATCACTGGCTGACTGTATCTGTCTGTTGTTGTGTCAGATCACTGGCACACTGTATATGTTGTTGTGTGGCAGATCACTAGCTGACTGTATCTGTCTGTTGTTGTGTGTCAGATCACTGGCTGACTGTATCTGTCTGTTGTTGTGTGTCAGATCACTGGCTGACTGTATCTGTCTGTTGTTGTGTGGCAGATCACGGGCTGACTGTATCTGTCTGTTGTTGTGTGGCAGATCACTGGCACACTGTATATGTTGTTGTGTGTCAGATCACTGGCTGACTGTATCTGTCTGTTGTTGTGTCAGATCACTGGCACACTGTATATGTTGTTGTGTGGCAGATCACTAGCTGACTGTATCTGTCTCTTGTTGTGTCAGATCACTGGCACACTGTATATGTTGTTGTGTGTCAGATCACTGGCAGACTGTATCTGTTGTTGTGTGTCAGATCACTGGCAGACTGTATCTGTTGTTGTGTGTCAGATCACTGGCAGACTACATCTGTTCTTGTCATTGTGTGGAGCAGTTTTACCATTTGACTGTTATAAACAGTCAACCATTTGACTGTTATTAGAGGATGTATATAATATATATATATATATATATATATATATATATATATATATAATATATATATATATATATTATAATATATATATATTATAATAAATGTATTTTGGGATGCTTGTGTTTAGTAAAATACCTTTGCATGTGAGTAGAAGATTAATTTGTAAGAGTGTGTTGGTAATAATGTTCGTGTTGATGTGTCGGCAGAGTGTCGTTTGGGTCGAGCAAGGGGTCGATGGTGGAGACTCTTATCTACGACTCCCCCGTCGCTGAGGAGGAGAGAATACCTGAAGAAGAGACACCTACCTTCAGAGATCCTGTCTCCCAAATGTTCGGGTAAGTACCCCCTTACTGCTTTCTTACGTGGTTGGAATAATGTAGGGTACAGTACCATGGTTGGACTAATGTCACAATACCGTATTTGCAAGAGTGTCACAGTGCTGTGGTTGCAACAGCATAACTCAGTACCGTAGTTGGAACACTCACAATACCATGGTTGGAACGGTACAAGGCACATTACCGTGGTTGGAATAATGTCACAATACCGTGGTTGCAACAGTGTTGCAATGCTGTGGTTGCAACAGTATAACTCATAATACCGTGGTTGGAACACTCACAATACCGTGGTTGGAACACTTACAATACCATGGTTGCAACACTCACAATACCGTGGTTGCAACACTCACAATACCGTGGTTGCAACACTCACAATACCGTGGTTGCAACTCACAATACCGTGGTTGGAACACTCACAATACCATGGTTGCAACACTCATAATACCGTGGTTGCAACACTCACAATACCGTGGTTGCAACACACAATACCGTGGTTGCAACACTCACAATACCGTGGTTGCAACACTCACAATACCGTGGTTGCAACACTCACAATACCGTGGTTGCAACACTCACAATACCGTGGTTGCAACACTCACAATACCGTGGTTGCAACATTCACAAATACGTGGTTGCAACACTCACAATACCGTGGTTGCAACACTCACAATACCGTGGTTGCAACACTCACAATACCGTGGTTGCAACACTCACAATACCGTGGTTGCAACACTCACAATACCGTGGTTGCAACACTCACAATACCGTGGTTGCAACACTCACAATACCGTGGTTGCAACACTCACAATACCGTGGTTGCAACACTCACAATACCGTGGTTGCAACACTCACAATACCGTGGTTGCAACACGCACAATACCGTGGTTGCAACATTCAGAATACCGTGGTTACAACACTCACAATACCGTGGTTGCAACACTCACAATACCGTGGTTGCAACACTCACAATACCGTGGTTGCAACACTCACAATACCGTGGTTGCAACACTCACAATACCGTGGTTGCAACACTCACAATACCGTGGTTACAACACTCACAATACCGTGGTTGCAACACTCACAATACCGCGGTTGCAACACTCACAATACCGCGGTTGCAACACTCACAATACCGCGGTTGCAACACTCACAATACCGTGGTTGCAACACTCACAATACCGTGGTTGCAACACTCACAATACCGTGGTTGCAACACTCACAATACCGTGGTTACAACACTCACAATACCGTGGTTGCAACACTCACAATACCGCGGTTGCAACACTCACAATACCGCGGTTGCAACACTCACAATACCGCAGTTGCAACACTCACAATACCGTGGTTGCAACACTCACAATACCGTGGTTGCAACACTCACAATACCGTGGTTACAACACTCACAATACCGTGGTTGCAACACTCACAATACCGCGGTTGCAACACTCACAATACCGCGGTTGCAACACTCACAATACCGCGGTTGCAACACTCACAATACCGCGGTTGCAACACTCACAATACCGTGGTTACAACACTCACAATACCGCGGTTGCAACACTCACAATACCGCGGTTGCAACACTCACAATACCGCGGTTGCAACACTCACAATACCGCGGTTGCAACACTCACAATACCGTGGTTACAACACTCACAATACCGCGGTTGCAACACTCACAATACCGCGGTTGCAACACTCACAATACCGCGGTTGCAACACTCACAATACCGCGGTTGCAACACTCACAATACCGCGGTTGCAACACTCACAATACCGCGGTTGCAATACTCACAATACCGCGGTTGCAACACTCACAATACCGTGGTTACAACACTCACAATACCGTGGTTGCAACACTCACAATACCGCGGTTGCAACACTCACAATACCGTGGTTGCAACACTCACAATACCGTGGTTGCAACACTCACAATACCGTGGTTGCAACACTCACAATACCGTGGTTACAACACTCACAATACCGTGGTTGCAACACTCACAATACCGTGGTTGCAACACTCACAATACCGTGGTTGCAACACTCACAATACCGCGGTTGCAACACTCACAATACCGCGGTTGCAACACTCACAATACCGCGGTTGCAACACTCACAATACCGCAGTTGCAACACTCACAATACCGCGGTTGCAACACTCACAATACCGTGGTTACAACACTCACAATACCGTGGTTGCAACACTCACAATACCGCGGTTGCAACACTCACAATACCGTGGTTGCAACACTCACAATACCGTGGTTGCAACACTCACAATACCGCGGTTGCAACACTCACAATACCGCGGTTGCAACACTCACAATACCGCGGTTGCAACACTCACAATACCGCGGTTGCAACACTCACAATACCGCGGTTGCAACACTCACAATACCGCGGTTGCAACACTCACAATACCGTGGTTACAACACTCACAATACCGTGGTTGCAACACTCACAATACCGCGGTTGCAACACTCACAATACCGTGGTTGCAACACTCACAATACCGTGGTTGCAACACTCACAATACCGCGGTTGCAACACTCACAATACCGCGGTTGCAACACTCACAATACCGCGGTTGCAACACTCACAATACCGCGGTTGCAACACTCACAATACCGTGGTTGCAACACTCACAATACCGTGGTTGCAACACTCACAATACCGTGGTTGCAACATGCTGAGACTTCAGCTTAATCCCTATTTTAGGAGTTAAAAAAATTCTTGTCTGACGCTGAGAAAAAAAAGTTAACTGAGCCTAGTGTAGTAGATAGGCTTCAAACTCCATTAACCGAGCAGGCTTGTGTTATAAACTTTTATTTTTGACATGGGCAAACATGGATGTCATCCATTAGTGTTTTTAATAAAAGTATATCAACACAAAATGAACCTATCAGATCCAAAAAAAAAAATCTGCAACTTTTAGCAATAAAATATGTCTCTATACTCCCCATCTGCAACTTAATTCATTAGGTTTTAAATCTAACTTAACTTTCCATCCCCACAAACAAATAATTAGTATAAATATAAAATCTACATACAGGTCAAACTTTACTTGTGAAATTAGTTGTATAGCCAAACGCAGCGCTATAATTTCTATACTGATACTGACTGTCTAGTTGGAAGAGCTGAGACTGACTGTCTAGTTGGAAGAGCTGAGACTGACTGTCTAGTTGGAAGAGCTGAGACTGACTGTCTAGTTGGAAGAGCTGAGACTGTCTAGTTGGAAGAGCTGAGACTGACTGTCTAGTTGGAAGAGCTGAGACTGACTGTCTAGTTGGAAGAGCTGAGACTGACTGTCTAGTTGGAAGAGCTGAGACTGACTGTCTAGTTGGAAGAGCTGAGACTGACTGTCTAGTTGGAAGAGCTGAGACTGACTGTCTAGTTGGAAGAGCTGAGACTGACTGTCTAGTTGGAAGAGCTGAGACTGACTGTCTAGTTGGAAGAGCTGAGACTGACTGTCTAGTTGGAAGAGCTGAGACTGACTGTCTAGTTGGAAGAGCTGAGACTGACTGTCTAGTTGGAAGAGCTGAGACTGACTGTCTAGTTGGAAGAGCTGAGACTGACTGTCTAGTTGGAAGAGCTGAGACTGACTGTCTAGTTGGAAGAGCTGAGACTGACTGTCTAGTTGGAAGAGCTGAGACTGACTGTCTAGTTGGAAGAGCTGAGACTGACTGTCTAGTTGGAAGAGCTGAGACTGACTGTCTAGTTGGAAGAGCTGAGACTGACTGTCTAGTTGGAAGAGCTGAGACTGACTGTCTAGTTGGAAGAGCTGAGACTGACTGTCTAGTTGGAAGAGCTGGGACTGACTGTCTAGTTGGAAGAGCTGAGACTGACTGTCTAGTTGGAAGAGCTGAGACTGACTGTCTAGTTGGAAGAGCTGAGACTGACTGTCTAGTTGGAAGAGCTGAGACTGACTGTCTAGTTGGAAGAGCTGAGACTGACTGTCTAGTTGGAAGAGCTGAGACTGACTGTCTAGTTGGAAGAGCTGAGACTGACTGTCTAGTTGGAAGAGCTGAGACTGACTGTCTAGTTGGAAGAGCTGAGACTGACTGTCTAGTTGGAAGAGCTGAGACTGACTGTCTAGTTGGAAGAGCTGAGACTGACTGTCTAGTTGGAAGAGCTGGACTGACTGTCTAGTTGGAAGAGCTGAGACTGACTGTCTAGTTGGAAGAGCTGAGACTGACTGTCTAGTTGGAAGAGCTGAGGACTGACTGTCTAGTTGGAAGAGCTGAGACTGACTGTCTAGTTGGAAGAGCTGAGACTGACTGTCTAGTTGGAAGAGCTGAGACTGACTGTCTAGTTGGAAGAGCTGAGACTGACTGTCTAGTTGGAAGAGCTGAGACTGACTGTCTAGTTGGAAGAGCTGAGACTGACTGTCTAGTTGGAAGAGCTGAGACTGACTGTCTAGTTGGAAGAGCTGAGACTGACTGTCTAGTTGGAAGAGCTGAGACTGACTGTCTAGTTGGAAGAGCTGAGACTGACTGTCTAGTTGGAAGAGCTGAGACTGACTGTCTAGTTGGAAGAGCTGAGACTGACTGTCTAGTTGGAAGAGCTGAGACTGACTGTCTAGTTGGAAGAGCTGAGACTGACTGTCTAGTTGGAAGAGCTGAGACTGACTGTCTAGTTGGAAGAGCTGAGACTGACTGTCTAGTTGGAAGAGCTGAGACTGACTGTCTAGTTGGAAGAGCTGAGACTGACTGTCTAGTTGGAAGAGCTGAGACTGACTGTCTAGTTGGAAGAGCTGAGACTGACTGTCTAGTTGGAAGAGCTGAGACTGACTGTCTAGTTGGAAGAGCTGAGACTGACTGTCTAGTTGGAAGAGCTGGGACTGACTGTCTAGTTGGAAGAGCTGAGACTGACTGTCTAGTTGGAAGAGCTGAGACTGACTGTCTAGTTGGAAGAGCTGAGACTGACTGTCTAGTTGGAAGAGCTGAGACTGACTGTCTAGTTGGAAGAGCTGAGACTGACTGTCTAGTTGGAAGAGCTGA